GAAGAGCCTTTGCCAACCACTGCCAGGAATTAAGCCTTAGGATCTCTAGTAAGAGTGTCCTAGTCAGCAATCCACCGAGTGGCAAATGAAATTCACAGCAGGCTTGGCTCTAGTATGCAGTTGAGGAGATCCCAATGTGTAAAAGACCTTGGGATCGACGGCGCTTCCCACAGACGCCCCGTGGCAACGGCCGAGAAGAGGTTGACCGATAGCACCAGTAGAGGTAACATAGTTCGTAGAGTTGTCAAGACCTCCAGAGCTGCGAAATCTTGAGTACACGCCGGGGAATTGAGGCACAATGAGTAGCCCCATCCACGCTGCTACGGATGCGAGCGCAGATCTCGGGCATGGTTGGCCACGATGAAGGAGGATGCGCGACTACGACTATTCGGATGGCCTTCCCAACGGCACACCAGGGTCCGATGGTTTTTGGCAGGCTGCGTCTTTTCAATGAATGGATCGGACTTCTTCCAATGCCTATGTCAACCCACCGCCAGGCTCTTCTCTCAACCTGGAAAACAGCAGTTCGCATCTTTGAAGGGGCCAAAAACCGATGGGCACAAGTCAAGGGGGCCCTGTCGGCCACGGCGGCCGCGCTCCCCGACCACGGGTGGAAACCTCTTTCACCGACCCTGCGGCAGGACCCCGACGGAGTGCAGTTCGATCTGGAAGAAGCTGACTCACATATGCTGTCAGAATATGTGTTGTACGGAGCCCTAGACCAACAGGCTTGGGAGCTAGCAGCGGCACATTTCGCAGGCAAAGGTCTCGAGCACGGCCCTGATCTTACAGTCAACGGGCAACGCATGGCAGCCTGGAAAAAAGAAGCGCAATACGACACAGCTGGTCTGTTCATAATGATTATGGCAGGGGCCCTCTGGCCTGCGAGTCGGCGCTTTGTAGAAGCTACCGGGCCCCCTCCAATCCCTCCAGCAACGGCCGCCGCCGCTGCGCGGGCGTCTGATCAGGCCCCCCTGGAGCCCTAGGCGCACGGTAGAGTCGGCGGTCTGGATGAGGAAGAGGAGGATTCTGATGTTTTGGATTTGGTCAGGCAAGCCCAGGAGGATGACCAGGGCCCTTGGGACTCCCCTCCTGACAGTTTCCCAGAGGAGCTTCAGGAGGCCGCGGGGGTCTGCTCGCCGCGCAGGCCACCCTGGACCACACCGAAGTGCCCTCGGCGTGGAGCTCCGCAAGGGACCCTTCTCCGTCAGATTTGGGAGTGCCCGGGGAACCAAGGCCTGGAGGGCCTGCGCTTGGAGCTCTTGGAGAAGGTCCGTGAAGGCCAAGAAGAGTGGCTTTGTTTTTGGCTCAGGGGCATAGTGCCAGTGCTCTGGGCGCTGCCCCACGCCTCGCGCCCGACCCACAGCGCCAAGATCTCAGGAGGTGCCCTGGCAAGAGATGCCAAGATTCGTTTCACCAGCTCAATGATTGTTGCCACTGATGGTTCAGGTGGCAAGTACCGCGATGACTCCAGGCTCAGAAGATGTGGGTGTGGCTTTGTGGTGGTGGATGGGTGGGACCTGCTTGGGTGCGGGCAAGGGCCTTCGGAGTGCTGGAAGCAGACAGTTCCAACCTCAGAGTTGACAGCTGCCACAGAGGCGGTGAAAGCTACTGAAGGAGATTTAGTTTTGGTGATAGAGGCTCAGTCTGTGGTGGACGGCATAAGAGCTGGCCCACATGGACGGAACAGCACCAACAAGAGATGTTGTGGAAGAGATGTTGGGCCGACCTTGGTGATAGGCCCATCGTGGCCCACAAAATCAAGAGTCACCTTCCGGCTGAAGAGGCCGAAGCGAACCACGTGCCCCCACAGCATTGGTTCGCGAATCGTCTTGCAGATCAGGCAGCGGTGGAGGGCGCCCGTCAGGCCCAGCTTCCGGCCCAGGAGATTGCCGCGATAGCGGCCATCGACTTGAAAGCGACAAAGGTGCACGAGCACATGTTGGCGGTGGCCCCCGCGGTCACTAAGCAGGAACCGTCTCTCTACGGCGCGAGCTCGCGGCGAGACCGCGCGCAAGAGGCCAAGGCTCGGGCTGGGGAGAGGCAGGGGGCGGCTCAGCAGAGGATAGTAGATTCGGCCCACTCGGTGAAGCGAGACACCCGAAGTCGAATGCAGTGTACGGCGTGTTTCGCAAAGCCAGAGCCAGGAGCGATAGAGTCCTGGTTGTCCAGCCCGTGCATCGGGTATCCCGCCAATTTGCATAGGAACCATACCGTGTGGAGCTTCAAAGGAGTCTTTTGGTGGCGGGCCTGTGGTGGGTACGGCACCACTTCTTTCCAAAAGCTCGGTGTGCAGTGTAAGCTAGAGACCCTCACCAAATGCGCCAGGCGTCTCATTCATTCCCTGGAACAGGAGAAGTTGCAAGTGGGCGTCAAGGAATGGCCTCAGCCAGACGACCTGAGACCCCCCAGGCCCACTGTTTCTGTTTAGTGGCCAATGAGTCGCAGCGGTCCCTGTCAGAGGATGTGGCCGCCAACGTAGGTAAGAGGTCAGAGGAGGAGGAGGAGGAGGAGGAGGAGGAGGAGGAGGAGGAGGAGGACGAGGACGAGGAGGACGAGGAGGACGAGGAGGACGAGGAGGACGAGGAGGACGAGGAAGGGCGTGCCGGCACCTGTTTGCGATTGTTTGCGGTGCCGCGTTTGAGGCCAACGGGGTGTCCTTGGCGAGGCAGAGTTGCCTGCGCACGTACCATGGCCCGAAGGCTCGCAACGAGTCTTAGACGTCAGTCCCCTCCTCTGGGGGGAGGAGGGGGAGGAGGCAGGCGGAGGAGTGAGCGAGTTCCCCCGGGCAAAAGCCCAGGCAGGCCCTGGAGCTATCCGCCCCCCACACTTGATTTCCAAGTCGCTCAGCACCTAAATTTTCAGTGGTCGCGTCTAGGCGACGGCTGTGGGTAGCGGTAAAGGTATGCTTTCGGAACGTTCACCGCCACCCAGTTTTTGCCAGCGTGGACCCGAGCAGCGAGTTATTTCAATCCAGATGCGCAAGCTGTAAGCTGTGTGGTGCAAGCTCCGTGGTGCAAGCGATGCCGTGCAAACTATGTGGTGTACGGTCGGGAACTTTGGTTCGCGTGTCGCTCCGCTGACTCTGGCCCACCACGCTCTGAAGCGACACGCTGCTCGCTTCCGGGTTGCAGGCGTCAGCGGCCCGAGTTCTCCCACGCTTCCCGCCGCGCGGAGCGGAGCGACACGCTGTGTGCTCGCGGGGCATGGCACGTCGCTGGGGCAGCCGCCGCGACACTCGAAGCAGAAGCTCCCGACCGTAGGCCCTGCGGTGCGAGCGCTGCGGCGCAGGCTGTGCGGCGCAGGCTGTGCGGGGGCGGCGACGAGGCGCCCGCGGGGCGGAGGCCTGGCAGCCGTCCACCGCGCGAGGGGGGCGGCCGCGAGGCGCCGGCAGCAGCGGGGCGAAGACTCGGCAGGCAGGTCCAGCTGTGCATCGCTGTGGCGAAGGTCCCCACCATGGGCACACTTGCAGATGTGGGTGTCATAACAGGTCGCTGAAACGCGGTATTTCTGGACGCCCAGATCCCGCTCTATTCGTGGCGCCCTCCTACTTCAAGGATCGACTGGCTTCCTCCTTCTCTCCTCTATAGGGGGCTGGCGGAAGCGCAATCTACTTCCAACGCCTTCCTGCTTCATGTTTCTACCTACTTCTTCCGACCGATGGGTACCGCGTTGTGGGCACCGCTTTCGGTGGAGCCCCATGTGGGGCCACGAAAGGCGAGAGGAGTGTCCTGTAATGGTTGGGGGGGCGGATGCGGCCGCGGCCGCTGGGGTCGTCGGTGGAGCTCCCTGTGTGCCCACGAAACGCTGTAATGGGCGGGGCGGGCGCGTGCGGCCGCGGAGCTCCCGATGGAGCCACGGAACGTTGTTTTCGGGTGGCGCGGCCGCATGCGGCCGTGGCCACTGGAACGTTCGGTGGAGCTCCCTACGGGGCCGCGAAGCGCTGTACTGGTCGGGGGAGTCGCATGCGGCCGCGGCCACTGGAGCGTTCCATGGAGCTCTCCCTGGGGCCACGAAGCGCTGTACTAGGTGGGGGGAGACGCATGCGAACGTCCCCTCTGGGGATGTCGTTGGAGCTCTCCCTGGGGCCACGAATCGTTGTACTGGGTGGCGCGGCCGCATGCGGCCGCGGCCACTTGGGCCTTCGGTGGAGCTCCCTGGGGGACCACGAGGCGCTGTATTGGGTGGCGCGGACGCATGCGGCCGCTGCCATTGGTGTCTTCGGTGGAGCTCTGTATTGGGGGGGGGGGGTGATGAATTTTACTGGGTGTGGGAAGCGCTTGCGGCCGCTGCCATTGGCGCCTTCGGTGGAGCTCCTTTAGGGGGGGAGGCACGAAACATGTCACTGGGTGTGGGAGCTCCCTATGGGGCCACGAAGCGGGTGAAGGGTATGCCGAAACAAAGACACGCGGAGGGCGCACGGATGATAGGGAGCGGAGGGAGGAGGGGGTGAGGAAGGAGTGAGACGCAGGGCGTTGCTTCTTCAACACAAAGACCCATCACAACAGGATGGTTGGGAACAAAAATAGTGGTAAGGTAACCGTAGCCATTTTGGCTCAAGCCAGTCTGGCTCCAGAGGCTCGAGCGTTTTCTCTGGCCTGGGTCGGGCAGCCAGCCCGCGCCACCGCTCGCATGCCAGGCCAGCCGCTGCGCTCCGAGAGGCCAGCATGACCTGCCGCCGCCGCGACCGCCGCGGCGCGGCCGCGGCAACGCTTTGCGCAGCCCTGGGGGCCACGTGGCGCGGGCATCTGGCCCCAGCGGCCTTCGCCGGGCCGGCCGCGGCGCCCACCCCGGTGCGCGGGGCGCCGCTGCGGGATACGGCCGCCAGCCCCGGCCGCGAAGCGCCGGCTCCTGCAGCTGGACACCCCAGTAGCGTGGAGCGCCAGATCGGCGTCAAGAAAATATGTTGGGACAAAGGCAGTGCGGCGTGGCGCATTCAGTATCAAATACAGAACGGCCCAGATCGAGGTTGCATCAAACAGACACGGTTCCGCCCGAAGGACGAGTCGCCGGAGCAGGTGGAGCAGGCGCGGCTCGCCGCCGTCGAGGCGCTGCGGCGGCTGGAGGACGAGGACCGGCTCGGGCGGATCCGCTCAGGTCGGCACAGTGCGGAGCGCCAGAGCGGCGTCAAGCACATACATTGGGACAAATGCAGTGCAGTGTGGCGCATTCAGTATACGATACAGAACGGCCCAGATCAAGGTCGCAGAAAGCGGCCCGTGTTCCGACCGAAGGACGATTCGCCGGAGGAGGTGGAGCAGGCGCGGCTCGCCGCCGTCGAGGCGTTGCTGCGGCTGGAGGAGGAGGACCAGCTCGGGCAGGCCCGCGCTGGCAGCTACAGCCCCACAGAGCGCCAGAGCGGCGTCAAGCACATACGCTGGGACAACCGCAAGACGGCGTGGCGCATTAAGTACACGATACAGAACGGCCCAGATCAAGGTCGCAGAAAGCAGCCCGTGTTCCACCCGTATGACGATTCGCCAGAGGAGGTGGAGCGGGCGCGGCTCGCCGCCGTCGAGGCGTTGCTGCGGCTGGAGGAGGAGGACCAGCTCGGGCAGGCCCGCGCTGGCAGCTACAGCCCCACAGAGCGCCAGAGCGGCGTCAAGCACATACGCTGGGACAACCGCAAGACGGCGTGGCGCATTAAGTACACGATACAGAACGGCCCAGATCAAGGTCGCAGAAAGCAGCCCGTGTTCCGACCGAAGGACGAGTCGCCGGAGGAGGTGGAGCAGGCGCGGCTCGCCGCAGTCGAGGCGCTGCGGCGGCTGGAGGACGAGGACCGGCTCGGGCAGGCCCGCGCTGGTCGGCACAGTGCGGAGCGCTAGAGCGGCGTCAAGCACATAAGCTGGGACAAATGCAATGCGGTGTGGCGCATTCGGTATACGATGCAGAGCGGCCCGGATCAAGGTCGCAGAAAGCGGCCCGTGTTCCGACCGAAGGACGAGTCGCCGGAGGAGGTGGAGCAGGCGCGGCTCGCCGCAGTCGAGGCGCTGCGGCGGCTGGAGGACGAGGACCGGCTCGGGCAGGCCCGCGCTGGTCGGCACAGTGCGGAGCGCCAGAGCGCGCTGCGGAGGCTCCAGGAGGAGGACCGCGCGCTCGAGCGCAGCGGCTCGGGCCGACGGAGCGCGGGGCGCCAGGAGGAGGAGGAGGAGGAGGAGGAGGACCTGTGAAGGTGGGGCTCTCTGGCCTCCAGCCTGGCCCTGATCACCGATCGGGGCTCTGACCTCCTGCCCCCCGCTGGCCGCCGATCTCCAGTCTGCCTCTGGGCCTGCCGCGTCCCATGAGACCCGACGTCGCGAACAAAAAAAAGTGACGTGCTGAAAGATCACGCCTGGAGCCCTCGACCCCATCTTCGGCGGCGAGCGAGGGGGGGAAGTGAGGAGGAGGAGACCTTCTCAGAAGGCGGCGGGACTTCTCAGACGGCCTCGGGCCTTCTGTGAGGGGTGCTCTGCGTCTCCGGGGAAGGCTCAGGAGGCTTCTCAGAATGCCCGGGGACTTCCGAGCCTTCTGAGAAGGCCCGCCCCCCTCTCACTTCCCCCCTGGGCTGGCCGCCGACATCGTTCTGCGGCCTCTCTCGAGCCCGATCGATCGGTGAGGGTCCCAGGGCCCGCTGCCCGGTGTGAGCCAACCCGCGACGCCCGGCTCGTAGGGTCTTCCGGTCTGCAGCCCGGTCGTGCCCGCGCGATCGCCGACCGCAGCTGGCCGCCCCTGGCGCGGGCGCCTGCTGAGGCCGAGGCGCGCGGTGGCGGCGAGGCTTGGCAGAGGCGGGCGCCGGGCAGCGCCCGCCTTCGAGGGAGGAGGCACGGCCGAGTCGGCGCTTACCGCAAGAGTGACCTGTTGCCGGAGGGACCTTTGGTGCGGGCCTCCCCCTCCTCCTCCCTCCTCCTCCTCCTCCTCCTCCTCCTCCTCCTCCTCCTTCCTCCTCCTTCCTCCTTCCTCCTTCCTCCTTCCTCCTTCCTCCTTCCTCTTCCTCCCCCTTCCCCTCCCCCTCCTCCGGAGTGAGTTCCCAGATGGCCGAGTGCGACGCGGCAGCAGCGGCTTGCGCACGCCGGTGCGGCCTCCCCGCGGCCCCCGACAGTCGCGCGCACCAGAGGTCGCTCTTCCTCACAGGGTCGTTCTTACGTGTAGCCGACTGAGGGGCAAGATCCTGCACCGCCCCGCGCGATTGGCGTGCCAGCGCGATGTTTAGCGCGCCCCCCGTCCGCTACAGAGATAGGCTTGCCCCCCCCCCCCCAGCAACCCCAAACGGCGGAGTGAGGGGGAGGAGGGGTGGTTCCCCCCTCAGCGTCCTTCTCTTCTTCCTCCTGCTCCTCTTCATCCTCATGGTTCCTCCTCCCCCTCATGGGGGGCATCCTCTTCATCGTCATTCTCTTCCTTTCCCTGCTCCTCATCCTCCTCGTTCCTCCTCCTCCTTCTCCTCCTCCTCCTCCACCTCTTCCTCCTCCTGCTCCTCCTCCTCCCTCTCCTCTGGCGCGCGCCTCTGTGCCCCAGATGAGCCGCTAGCCTGCTGCTGCAACAGCGACCTTATATTCAAGATTCATGCGAGTGTCACGCTGTTCTACTAGGAACAGGTGTTGCGTCGTCGTCGTCGTCGTCGCCCACCAGGCGCGCCCCCAGCACCCTTCACTGCGCCCCCCAGACCAAAACAACCAAACATACACGTTGGAATCCACTGCCCCTCTGTTCTGAAGCGCTTGTATAGGAAGGGGTACAGTGGACTGGGTGTTTACACAGCTTGGAGAAATTAGTGAATTCAGTATGCGTCGGGCTTGACGTGCCTCGAAGAAAGCTCGCGCACCCGAATCGCAAGCATATGGCTATATGCGGACCCAGGACAGTTTGCTTCCCGTCGTCGTCCTCGCCCTTGCTCCGTTCCCTTTCCTTTCTTCCCCCCTGTGTGGTGTCGAAAGCGTCCGCGGCCTGGGCGGTGGAGCGCCCATTTCCACCTCCCCCATTATTCCTCGTTCCTCTTTGCCTCCCTGCTCCACCGTCCGTCGTCCTACCTCGTCTTCCTTCCTTGCTCGAGAAGTGAGGTCCCTGGCGCCGCGCGCCCGCATCAGCCGTAGATCGCATTTTCGATATCCGAGCACAGCGGCGCAACCAAACAGAGAAGATTGCCAATGCGAGCGTTCGGGGCGCACTCCAAACGCGGGCGGCACGGCCGCCGAGCACAGTCGCATCGCTAACATGCGAATGTATAAGTGCGTGCGGCAAGGTCCGCCCCGTTGCCAGTGCAACGGTCTGTATGGCGACGCGTGGAACGTTGATTGTTTAGAGGTCCGTGACATGCGACACCTCTCGTATTCTCGGATTGCTGTGCGGCCTTTTTGGGGGTCCTTCGGGGCCTTTTGGGACGTCTTCGGGCCGTTGGGGGCCGCTTTGGTGCCGCGTCTCACCGCGGCCGCCCTGGGCCAGGGAACCGTGTATTTGCAGCTCCTTCGGGGGCGCCCTGGGCCGGGGAAGTGTGCATTTGCATCCCCCAAAACTGGGCATGTCGACTTCGGTTCTGGGTTGGCAAAGTCGGGGCACCCTCGAGGTGGCGAGCGTTTACCTTGAACCGAGAGCGCCAAACACTGTATATTTGTTATTCGATTCTGGGGTATGAGGAACAAGGGAACCCTGTGTATGTTTGGTTTTTGTTGGGGATGTTTTGGTCATAGGAGCAAAGGGACACTGTGCATGTTTGTTTTAATTTTTTTTGGGGGGGTCGCAAGCCCCAACGCTCGCCGGGACCCCCCGACGACTCCAGACCAACAAAAACAAAAACACAACGTTTCCTTGCACCGAGAGCGCCAAACACTGTTTCTTGGGGGTGGGTCTGAGGAGCAAGGAAACACTGTGCATGCTTGTTGTTGTGTTGTTTTGGAGGTTTTGACAGTGCCAGTGCTTGCTGGGAGAGAGGCCCCTGCGAGCATTTGGGCTTTCAAAACAAAAAACAACCAAACATTTACAGTGTTTCCTTGCTCCTCAGACCCAAAGGACCCAAACAACCAAACATACATAGTGTTTGGCGCTCCCGGAGCAAGGAAACACTGTGTCTGTTTGTTTTTTTCGGTTCTCTTTGGTTTTGCCAGCGCCAGTGCCTGCTGGGAGAAAGGCCCATGCGAGCATTGGGTTTTTAAAACAAAAACCAAAACAAACAAACAAACAAACATACACAGTGTTCCCTTGCTCGTCCCCCCCCAGAAAAATACATAAAACATTTTTTTCAAAACACACACACAGTGTTTGGCGCTCTCGGTTCAAGGAAGCACTGTGTATGTTTGTTTTTGCTGAAGTCGCAAAGAGGGAGGAGAGGGAAGAGGAGGAGCAAACGACCATTGGTTACGGTTATGTTTCTGGTTATGGTTTTGGTTCTTTTAGTTCTGGTTCTGGTTCTGGTTTCGGTTGTGCCGGCGTTGGTTTTGGTTGTGGTTCTGGTTTTGGTTCGTTTTGTGGTTTTGTTGGCTTTGGGGGTGATGGGGGGGGGTGACCAAACATATATACACAGGTTCCCCTCGATGGATTCTTCCCGGGCCTCAGCGAAAGGCGGCGGTGTACCAATCGCCACTGGGAGCCAGCGGTGTTATGCACTGGCACCCTCCCTGGAGGTATATGCGACGTTCGTCGGAGGGTGTCCGTGTAGGTATTTTCGTGGCGTGCCCCACAGATGTCGGAAACTGGAGCATCTACATCACCAGTGGCGGGCGGTTTTTCAATCCCAGGACTTTTTTGAGGGTCGGGGACGACGTCGGGGTGGTGTGGTGTATACTTGTTTCTTCGTTTTTTTTTGGGGGGGGAAACAACGAAGAATGTATACACCAGGATCCCGTATCGACCAGGATCCGCTTTCATCGGCGAGATTCGGTGCGAGGCCAGACAAAGGCGTCGGTGTATAGAGTTCGGCTAAAGATCCTCGTGGGGGAGCGCATCCTTCGGGAAGGCTCCTGGGCCGATCTCCCCAGGCGCGCCCCGTGCGGTCAGAGGGCAGCCCTCTCCTGAGAGCCCTGGCCTGGTCGCCCCTGGCACCTCGTGAGCCCGCGCGCCTGTCCCCCGAGTCAATCCAGGAGGGAGAAAAATACACAGACACAATGAATCGTGGACTCCCCCGAAAATATGGAAAAATATGGGAAGTGGGGTGGAGGACAAAAACCCAGAAAAGATCGGAAAGTATGGGGAATCCTGTTACTTGTGTCTGTATGTTTGTGTGTCCCAGGGCCCCTTCATACATTGGGGGCGCGGTGGGTGCTCACAGAAGTCGGCACCAAAAACGTCACGGGGCCGGTGCGTCGCAACCGGC